AAATGATCTATATAGTTTTAGGAATTCAATCTGTAATTATGGGGTACTCTACCTTCAACTGTGGACTATAGACCATACTTGTTTTATCAAACCGACTCAGTATTTTCCATGACCCACAGTCCAAGTAGGGGCTCACTAGCGCGTCACCAAAGTCTGATCGATAAGTCAAGGGGTCGTAATCCCAGTTTGTGGATTATAAGTCCTCCCCTAGAGACGAGTTAAGGTCACCACGACCTGATGCGACCATAGCTCTATAGTGCATGGGAGTATCTCTCGCACATTCATACGCTTCACCCAAAAGATGGATAACTTGCTTTCCCAAACGATCTATCGATATGCATGCCATGTGATGGATCAGGGATGAGGTTTAGGCCCCCGTAGGCCTACCATCACACATAAGGGTCACACAATCCCTCGGCTCACTCATCTAAGCATAAGCTACAGCCTCAACCTTCGCGGTTTATTTTTTATGCCCAGGTACATTGGATTTTTCAACCGACTAGCCTAAATCGTCAAGTACAGTCCGGTATCAGTAAACATCATTTATTTAGTATGGTCTTCAAGGGATCACACTCTCACTTAATTTATGTTCCACTATAATAAATATTTTTCATTAACCACTCATTAGGCCTTTAAAGCCCACATAAACCAAACACACTGGTGAATATTGAATAATTACTATAGTTTCATTCTTTGTTCGGTGCTTTATTCGCTAATTTGAGAACTGGTTTTGTAGGGGTGCAAGCACTTTGAGATCGGTGGCGACAAGAAGGGAAGGGAACCTCACTATTCTAGTTTAGGATATTTGTCCTGGCAAGTTTGAGGCGGTCTTATTGATATGAAGTAAACCTTTTTTTGTTAGTTTTGTTGAACTTCCTGTTGCTTTTGAAGTAGTTTCTCTCTCATTCAGAGAAGTCTCTTGGAAGATGTATCTCATTTTCGGTTTTCATTTGAAGTGGTCTCTTTGGAAAATGATGTTCAATTTTATAGAAGTGACCGTAGAAATTAAAAAAATATGAGCAACTTTAATACTTGATGGTAGGGTTGTGCATGGCAAGGAGTTTAACTTCTCTCCAAAAAAACATAGGGAATTATAAGTATACATAGCTAAAAAATATCTCCCTCTCTCTCATATTCATATGTCGAATATGTCGGTTGAGCTAATGAGGGGCTTTAAGAAGGAAATATGGTAATATATAGTAAGTCCCTCTTTCTCCAATATTCTTGTCTATTATTTTGTTAATAATTGTGTATGCCAACCCTGATAGCTCCTCCTTATTATATATTTATAAAATATATTTAAAGATATACATTCTTTGATTTTTGGGTCGGGTTTGGTTAGGGTTCGGTCCGGGTCCCTTATAAACATTTTGGGTCAAGATCAAGGTATGGGGACTCTAGACCTGATCGGGTCCAAGTCCTATGTTTTGGGTCTAGGTCTAGGTTTAGCTACCCCCAGATCCGATCTGACCCGAACCATTGCCACCCCTAACCATGGGGAGAGGCCCTAAGAAGGCTAGCTTCAACACTCTGCCCTTGTTGGGTTTCACTGTTTTCACCTTCAATTTATCCAACACTTTGGCAATGCTACCAATTATGAGAACCACTGCAGGAAAAATCAGACGGTTTACATCGTAACCGCGTGGTTAGATCGGAATTGGCCATTGCTTGGTTCTGGCTATGGCCGGTTTTAGTGAACCGGTTGGGTGTTTTAAAAAAATTCATCAAAATTTATATAAATCCAAAAAAATAAGGAATTTTTATTTATAATACATTTTTTAATGGTTTTCATCATTTTGTCAAAGTTTGGAAATTGTTTTGGCCATTAATATTTAGTTTTACATTTTCTCACTGTTTTTTGAAAATTTTCTAAAATAGCCTTAAGCACAAATCGATTATTTAAAATTCACATTTTTAATTAATTTTCAATTTCATTTGCATGTGCTTTGTTTAATCATGTTGTATATATATATATATATATTAATTTTTTATTTTTTTAACAGTTTTTTGACTGCCTGTGACTTGCTTGGCTAGGCAAGTTGACCTGCTTTTGGCCCCATGTCCGGTTAACCATTCCGGTTCAATTTTTCATACACAGATGAAAACTATTATTTAACTTCATCTAGCCATGATCGATTTCACTTTTTGCCATGAAGCTTTAAGAATGAAAATGAAAAAGGAAGAAACTGAATAAAATATGGAAAAGTATATGATAAGATTATTTACTTTTGTTTCATGGTAGTCACAATTAATCTTGACCTAGATGTAAAAATTGTATGGTGGCATTTATTCCATTGACCAAGTTCAAACTTCAACAATGATTTTCTCGATCTTTATACCACATCCAAGCAATCTGATTTCACATCAGATAGATATAAGTACGCGTGACCTCTTTGTGTTAAAGGTAATTGGCATCATTGTATACAATCCCATAAAATACAACCAAAAGTGATGTAATATACATTTGTATCGGGCCAAGGCTCTAAACAATCAATTAAAGCCGATCTTCAAATAGTATCGAGAAATATGATTTTCAATACTGGAAATCTTTGTGAGAGCCATAAAATATATTTTCATCTTGAATTATAAAATTTAAAGCTTAAAAAATAGTGTAGATCGAGCAAATATATGAAAACTTGAAAATATTGAAAATTGATAGTCCAAAAATGCGTTACCCGTAAAATATATTTTCATCTTGAATTATGAAATTTAAAGCTTCAAAAATAGTGTAGATCGAGCAAATCTATGAAAACTTGAAAATATTAAAAATTGATGGTCCAAAAATGTGTTACTAGATGCACTGTCTTCAAAAATTTTTTCTCATGTCTATGTATCTTGATGTGGAGATGATCAAATTAAGGATATTTGGGCATAGAAAAAACCTCTTCTACTGAAATTTTTGACGTGGGCTCTAATTTTGATTGTTTAGAGCCTCAGCTCCATGCAAACTTTTCCCTATTAGAAAATGTGCTTCTTGCTCATTTAAATTAATGTTAAGAATGTGTTGAATTAGATATGGAATAATTAATATCAATTAGGTATTGTATACTACGAGACCATTTATCTTATCAAGTTAGGATCTTATAAAACTCTCCCCCACCCATGTATGTAGGATCTCAAAGGATTATCATTAAAGTTGGTATGGATATTTAGAAAAGTTATCACATGGGTGTGGGACTTGATTTTTCTAGAGATTTATGTCAAATTTAATAATGATCTTTTGGGGTCCTATATACATGGGTGAGGGAGGATTCTATATGATTATTTATCTTATCTTTATTACAAAGAAGTCATAATTACTCATTTATATTAGATGCCAAATTGGATGGCTTGGGGTGCATCACAAAGTACGATTAAATTTTTTTTTTTTAACTTTGAATTTAGTCAGTGATACGTTCACAACTACCCAATTTGAAATCTGATGGACATCAATGATTATGAACTCCTCATATAAAAAGTAAATAGTCTCTATGTATACTTTTTTCTAAATTAGATTTAGTAGGTAGGCGATCGGGGCTTTCCCAGAATCACCCAATGTCATAACTCGTTGTTTGTTTTTTTTTCAACTTTTTATCAATTCAACCACAAATCTGATTCATAAAATATTTTGGTGATCCAAACCCTGACTCCATGTTCAAAACCCGTGCTTTAACTAACTGGGATTCTTTGCTACGAGCCTATTTACCTTTAGTATAAGGTCACAAATACCTCCAGCCATCCGATTTTAAATTGAATTATTTATTTTTTTTTATTTTTTTGAACCTAATCAACGATACACACTCTATTTAAAATCCAATGGATAAAAAAAATTGCAACCTACTTTAATCGATCTCTTTGTATGAGATTTTGGGCGTTCATAGTTTGGCGAAATCATTGTTATCAGCTCATTATCATGGCTGAGAAAAGGGAATGCTTTGGCTTATAGTTAACCCGTGGAAAAACAAAAGGAAACACTTTGGCTCTTCAGCAGATTACGGTAAATCTTTGGGCAAACTTTTTAAAATACAAGAATTTAACAAAATATGTAAAGGTAGGGAGTTTGTTTTAGACATAATAATTATTTATAGAGCCAAGACTTTAAAAAATCAAAGTAAAACACACCTTCAAATAGTGTAGAGAAATGTGATTTCAATACTTGAAATTTTTGTAATAGCCTTAAAATATATTTTTATCTTTAATTATAAAATTTAAAGTAAAAAAATAGTGTGGATCAAGCAGATCTATGAAAACTTGAAAATCTTGAAAATTGACTTTCAAAAAATGCATTACAAGATGTACTACTTCCAAAACTTGTAATCTATTTTTTTCTTATGTTCAAGCATATTAATGCAGAGAAGATCAATTTAAAGATATTTGAGCATTAAAACAACCTTTTCTAGTAAAAATTTTGAGGTGGGCTCTAATTTGATTGTTTAGAGTCTCAACTCTCTAAAATTTATTTCCTAATATAATAGATAAAGTTTCCCAAAATTTGAAGATTTTGGACTTATTTTTATAACTTCTTCCATGTTTTATAGTTATTTTCTAACGTGTATGGGAAAGACACGTAGAGAGAGCTACCTGATATGGAGAGGGAGAGGGAGAGAGTTCCTAATATTATGCAGAGGATAGAGATTGAGAGAGTACGACAGTTTTCACATTTTTAGTAAGACATGTAGGATAGCCAGAAATTTTAGCAAAAAATTTATGTTTGAAATTTTTGGAGTTAAGAGATAAGACAATAATCTAATCAGGAGGACAGATATTATGAGAGTTAAGCCTATCCAAAATTTGGGATATAATCAGAAAATTATGTTTGAGAGTTTAGGAATCCTTGGAGATAAAACACGTTGAAAAAAATTTCATATAAGGTGTTAACCTTATCCTATAGAAGTAAGGTGCACCTTAAAAACCCATTGAAAAAAATTTATCCTTATGTTTGAAAACCTTCCAATTGATTGTTTAGAGCCTAGGCTCTATACAAACCGCACCCTTGATCCTAATGTTTAGATAAAAACACTTTGAGAATAAACAGCTTGCAGATCCACAAAATAGTGGGTCAAGTTTATCTCGAAAATTAGCGTCCTTTTCGGAGAAGGGAAAGATGTATTGCAGAAGGCGTAGTGTTTTGCTATGTAAAAGAAGAAAAGGAGAAAGCAGAAGGAGCTCCAGTTTTTGACAACAAAATTTTTTGATCTCTTTACTCATGCTGATGGGTAGTCTTCCAGAAGCTGATAGAATCAGCTCTCTACCAGACTGCATCCTAGAATCCATTGTCTCCCTCTTGCCCATAAGAGAAGCAGGCAGGACTTGTATTTTTTCTAAGAGATGGAGGTACGTATGGGCTTCTGCTCCCTCATTGAACATGACAGATGATACTGGCAAAATCAAGTTCTCCAAAGATTTAAACTGGTCTTTTATCGGTGAGCAAGCCCTTTCTCTCCACAACGGCCCCATTCTAGATTTTCAATTGTACACACGAGCAGGTCAATGTGATTTGGATCAATGGATACCTTTGTTAACAAGAAAAGGCCTGCAAAAACTCAAACTGAACTTCCATCGTGAGTTGAAAAAAGGAGTGAATGGCATTATTTTGATGAGTTATAGAATGCACACTTCTCTATTTTCTTGTAGCTCTTTGGTGTCTTTGGACTTGACATTTTGCTCACTCAATCCCTCTTGCGATTACAAGGGCTTACCATCTCTCAAGAATCTCACTCTAGCTGTGGTGAGGCTCAATGATAGCATATTGGAGTCTCTAGTTTCAGGGAGTGGGCGGTTGGAGAAATTACGACTATTGGGTTGTGATGGCCTTTCCCATCTCAAAATTCATGCCTCCAACCTTTTATTTTTAGATGTAGAATGCAAATTTAATGCCATAAATTTGAGTAAAAGTTCCAACTTGAAGCAGATTATCTTATTTCAATGCGAACGGGATAATGCCTTTGCTTCCATGTCTAGCAAAGTTCTGGAGGGTCTCCCCCTTGGATTAATGGTGCTTTTCTCTCATGATTCTTTTATGCAGGTAAGAGCTCTCAGTATTGTTCTAATGTATATTGATGGCTTTATTTGTTGAGATTTTTTTTAACACAATCAGTTCTGTACCTGCGTTCCATGAACTTGTCACAGTATTTTTTTGGAGCAGATGTTCCTGTGAGACTCTCTACCACTTACAATAATCTCAGGTATTTTTCTCTGAGTTTAAATACAAGCAAGATAATGGAGGTTAAGGGCTTTGTTTGTCTTCTGAGAAGTTTCCCATACTTGGAATATCTCGCAATTCAGGTATGCTTGATCATAAGCTTATACTTTCACTTATATTTTCATACATTTCTTTTTTGGTTTTTTTTGTAGGTTTCTTACCATAGACAGCTTTACGTGGTGCCTTTATATTTCCTGATTTCTTTTTTGGTTTTTTTTTTGTAGGTTTCTTACCATAGACAGCTTGAAAGCCAAAGTGATCGATGCTTTTGGGAAACCATGATTTGTCAATCTGGATCATGGTTGAGTCACCTTAGAGGAGTGCAAATAACGCTGGGAGAGATTCGGTCAGAAGATATGGAATTAATTAAGTTCTTGCTATTGAGCACCACAGTGCTGTATAAATTCTTCATCGAGACAAGCAAAGGCATGGATCAAGCCAAACAATTAAGCCTCGAAAAGCAGTTGCTCTCGCTTCCGAAAGCTTCTTCTCGTGCCAAGATCATATTAAAAAACTCCAGTTAAGACTTGCAACTTTTCGAAACCAAATCTCTTATTTGGTTAGTGTTTGGGGAAGAATGCTTATTGTCTATAATCAATACATTTTGAAAGAATGATTATCATATTGACTGAGGAAGAATGCTCATTGTCTATCATCAATACATTTTGAAAGAATGATTATCATATTGACGGATAAAGTTTTCAGCAATTTGAAATTTGAATGATTCTCATATTGACTGATAAAGTTTTCAGCAATTTTAAATTTGTGCGCTTCTTCTATATTTTGAAGCAGAAGGAATTATATTATTGGGGGACAACATTAGTTAGTCACAAGGGTTCAAAACATTTTATAATGTTGCTTTGCTGTACCCAGCAATTTGATATATGCTCTTCTATTTTAAAACATGTTATAACAACACACATATAATGCTACTGACCATTATACTGCTATCTTTTAAACATTGTTATTGTATTTTGACTATTATATTTTGTCCAGAAACAAAAAATAGCCTGCAAGTTTAGGATTGCACTCATTGAGAAGGATCCTGCAACTTTTGGACAATTATGCAACTGTTTCAAAACCATAGCAATAACTGCTTACAGCGGAAACTAGATGAAAACAGATGGGTCAAATGTTATATTTTTGTTTTTGGACAATTATGCAACTGTTTTGAAGCCACTGAATCTTTATAATTAATGAATAGCTTCAAAACCATAGCAATAACTGCTTACGGCGGAAACTAGATGAAAGCAGATGGGTCAAATGTATATTTTTCGAAATAGGAAAACCTTTATATAAGGTTGCAACTTTAGAATGTAGAATTAAAGGAGCACCTCAAAATTCAGTCATAAAAGGTTGGTTGGATGTTGGAAAGCCCTCTAATTTATCATCTGGACATCAAGATGTAATATGAAACGAAATAAAGATTTTGAGTAAGTGAAATAGTCTTGCAACACATAATCTAGACCGTACATTTTCAAGATTTTCATGTGTTTATAGATCTACTTGATTTGAACCATTTTTAGTGCACAAAATTTTATAATTAGTGATGAAAATAGATTCTCAAGCCATCCTAAGAATTTTTTATATCAAAATTACATTTATAATAAAATTTAGATGTGCACCTTAATTGGCTGCAACTTTATGCAAACTACTTAGTCATGCATTGAAGATGAGAGTGTGGACTGAGTAGTATTTAAGTGTGGCATTCTCATGTTTTATGTTCTTAGAACAAAGTTGAGAGTAAGATGAGAGTGTGGATTGTTGGTGAAAAATGTAACTCTCATCCCTCTATCTCTACACATTTTTCTCTCTTTTTCTCTCTAAAATTCAAGACTCTCATGATGTACAAATAGAGCCTTCTGGTTTGAATGCATAGAACTTAGAAGTGCACAAGAGAACCTTCTATTTTTCTCTATTCCGGTGTGTAGAACTTAGAAGTGTGCAAGAGAACCTTTTGTTTTTTTGTATCCTGAGGTCGACTGCCCTTTCTTGTTTACACATTTCATATTATCGAAGGGGATCAAATATTGTCTTGAGAAAACGTTGTGTATTTGAGAATAGTAAGGGAATTCAACTAATTTTGTTCTTGTTTTTTGCCCCTTTTTACCCAACCAATTTTCCAACATCAAATCCTGGTGAATTAATGAAAGAGCTTATTTCTAACAAGCAATGAGTGAGGTGACCATTAAGCACAAATCCACAAAAATACAAACAATAGCAAAATTCAGAAGTTAAATTTACTATTGATCTTTTGTCTGAAATCTCTCTTTCTCTCTCTCTCTCTTGTTACAAGAAGCTTTAAATGGTTGATTAACTAATTATAGTCCAGTAACTATTTTTTGCTACATTTAAGAGACAAATTTTGTTAACATTGTTAAAAATGTAAGAATATTCCAGCATTTTTAGAACCACACTACCGCTAGAGGGTGAATTCAGGCTAAATACACTGAGTTTGTCGCAATTATTCCTTGTGACCAAGCTCCAGTCACCAAGCTCTATGACCTTTGCCAAAAAACTCATTTGATTCCATAGCTATTCCTTGTGACCAAGCTCTAGTCACCAAGCTCTATGAGCTTCGCAAAAAAACTCATTTGACTCCATAGCACTCTCACACAGAACTGAGACACAGGAGATTAATAAATCAAGAAATTAGTAAAATTAGATGATCATGATCTAAATATTCAAATATACAACAAGAATTTGTAAAACCATTCAAGAACAAATCAAGCCAAGGCTTAAAAACCATTCAATGCCAAATCAAGCTAAGGCTTGTAATAATTACATTCCATTAGAGTAGGAGATGATTCACTCCATCAATTCACGAGTCGTGGACGAGGGATTCAGAGTGGACACTTTGAGTTTAATTATTATGATGATTAATTGACATTAGAGGTCAACAACACAAAAAAAAAAGAAAAAAAGTTTTTAGAAATCCCACTGGATCAGTTGGATCATCCATTCAACCTCGGAGATGGATATGGATGCTTGAGGACCACCTTTGCCCGGGGAGACCCTCTAGGGATCGAAACCAACTGGTTTAGGATCTTCCATGAAGAATATTTCTCAAATCCAACCATGAATGCATCCGACACTTTGATGTTGGATAGCAAGAACCCAATCAATGGCATGTCGTGCTCGATGCCTACAATATATTTTCTTTCTTCAAGTTGGAAAATGTCACTAAATGCACTACTAAGATGCAAAACTAGAAGATTTGGGGAATGAATTTTGATATGGTAGAGGCCATCACAATCTTCTACTTTGAGGTACTCCAATCGCGAGCTACGGAAAACTATGATCTCGAGTGCGTCATCACATTTTGCAGAGAGAGGAACTTGAGAGATTGGAAGCTGATGACACATTTTGTAGAGAGAGGAACTTGAGAGATTGGAACCCGATGAAATCAGTCGGGGGTTCAAGGATGCACGAATGCAAGTCGAGCGACACCAGAGAGTTGCATGAAAACAAACGAGGGGAAATTTTGTAACGGTGAAGCTGATTGAAGTTGATGCTAAATTTTTGTAATGGTGAAGCTGATCGAAGTTGATGCTAAATTCTTGAAGGTCCCCTCTACTTACGAGGAAACGTATCCAATGATCAAGATCACTATGACTGGCATGTTTGGATATATGAACAGCTTGAATGGCTTCATGATGGAGCAAAAGAGCTTGGTCGACTGTCACATGCCAACTGAATCTTATAGAGACAGGGCATTTATCTGGGTCCATGTTCAAGATAGGAACATATGCCCAAACATCTCTAAATCTCTTGGATAAAATTGAGGTTCTACCTAATTCTCTTATGGGTAAGTGAGATAATATTTGATAAAAGATGTCATTAGAGAAATAACTAAGTCTATTAACTCTTGGCATTTTGGTCCTGGCCATCGAAGAAGCCAAAGATTCTACTTTCAATAAATTTTACTCTCATTAGATGTTTAGGACCTCTCTATAAAAGAAACCTCCCTCTCAGAAAAACTAAAAGGTAACCTCTCTTTCTAAGGGTGAGCCCTTCCTTATTGTTTTATAGGTTGTTTACATGGTCTTATCTACCAATGTTAGAATCCTAGTTCAAATTGAGAACTAAAATCTTTCTATTTCCCTTATCTACTTCAATGTGGATAAGAAAAGTCCAAAAAAAGCGTTATCTAAGAGTATTTTTAGGACCTAAAATTTTTGGATAAGAAAAGTCCACAAAAACGTTATCTAAGAGTTTTTTTAAGACCTAAATTTTCTGGAAACTAAAATCTTTCATTGGAGTTTATCGCCTTGGCCAATAAGACTAAGGAATCTGTTGGGATCTAATTAATTTTTGCATTATCTTTTGGGAACCTAATATCAAGATCTTGATGTTTTATTAATTTTTGTTTTTTTACTATGGGAAATCCTTTTTGGTTCTATTAATTTTTCATAAAGAGGCCTATTAATTGAGGAAGGCGCTCATTTTAAGATAAGAATGTTGTTTGTGGATTTCTAGAAAATATCCCTTTCAATTAATAAATAACTAATTGGATCACGTAGGAATAAAATAAATAATCGTATAAATATACAATAGAGAGTACATAGAAATACTATAAACATAAATGCAAATATTCGCACAAACCCAACAAATATAAGCACATCAGTCTGTGGATGTGTATGGAAGTTAAATATAAGCACCACACTCTAGTTGTGAGATCCATTCAACGAAACTGCCTCTCTCACACAAACCCTGCAAAGATAAGCTCATCTTTCTCATAGAAGCCCCATGAACCACCTGTGACACTCACTAAACAATACCAAATCTCTCCCTCACAACCTATCAAACAAAAGCACCTCTCCCTCTCTCCCCAATGCCAATAAGCCCCACTACCACCCAACCCAACTCAACTCAACTCAACTCAGAGACATTATTTTTTAAAGTATAAAACTTTACACTTTAATTTATATAGTTCTTGCTAACAAAAAAAAAGAAACATATATATTTTCCTATGAGAAATAATCCTATAGGACTCTCTCCCACCCATGTGTGTAGCACTTTCAAAAGATCACCATTAAAGTTAGCACAAATCTCTAAAAAAGTCAAGTCTCATACCCATGTAATAATTTTTCTACAGATCCGTGTTAACTTTAATAGTAATCCTATGAGGTCCTACACACATGGATGTGAGAGAGTCCTATCCAATCATTACTCTTTTCTTCCCTATTTATTAAAGTTAAGAATTTTCAAGTATTTTGTAATAAAAATTAGTCAAAAATGTGCTAGAGAGCAAAAATCCATAAATTTTAAATTGAAAATATTGGAAATTTTTTTTTCTGCATTGAAATATTTTAATTTGGAAAAATTAAAATATAAAAGTAATAAATATAAGAGAGCATATACACATAAAGAAAGTTATTTAAAAATAAAAAATTGTTATAAAAAATAAATACACCTATAAAAAAATAAAGTAACAACCATTATTCACAAAATAATATTATTTATACTGTTACTAATAATTTCTTTTAATATATAGGACTCTCACATGTGTTTAACATCATTAAGCATCAACTGCAAGCGGTGAAAATTTTCTCAATTGAAAACAAAAATTTAAGAAATCGCAAAAAAAAAGGGTGTAAAGCTCCTTTCCTCTTCCTTTTGCTTAATTTTTTTTGAGAGCATTGACAGGTGAAACATCCAACAGTCAATAAATAAATCCAAAGG